CACCTCGTGCTTTCAGGTCTCTTCCTACCTATACTCTTGCAACGTTCAGGACCCAGGCCTGCACCTGCACACCGAATTCGTCGACTTCGATGGCGATGAGTTCGGCACACGTACTGGTGTCCAGAAGATCATGCCTTTCCCTGGTGCAGAGCCGATTGGCGAGCTTGAAGCTTATCCTTTCGAGTTTCATGCAAATCATGCTGCGGCCAAGAAGTCACTCATTGAGCGTGGCAGGCGTTTCGAAAAGCTCGCTGGCATGCACTTCCATCACTACAGCGGTATTGCCCTTGAATACACTCCATGTGGCATCTCTCGCTTCAATACGGATGGTCGAGTTGTTGTAGACACCAAGACTTGGCACCGCCTCAACGGCAACCGAGCTTTCACCGTCAACAAATTTAAGTCCAGGGAAGACAGGCGTCGTAAGCGTCCTCACGTACCGAGAATCCATCGCTACGATGACGATGACGATGACGATTACGAAGAGGAGGACACTGAGCTGCTGCCTACCGACAAGCTCGATCTCGACCCTCTGACCGACGACCAGTGCCTACTGGCAAGCGCCACTGTGCGAGGCTTCTCCTTCACCGAGAAGAGGTGGTTCGAGTTCTTTGTAGACAAGCTGTCGCCACCTGGCTGGAACCCAAACTGCTTCGACCAGCTTGTACTTCCCGCTGCACAGAAAGACCTTGTCCAGGCCCTAGTCGCCAATCACGTCCAGCAGAGAAGCGACTTCGACGACATCGTCAAGGGCAAAGGCCGTGGTCTCATCATGGTCCTCCACGGCCCACCAGGCGTGGGAAAGACCCTCACAGCCGAGACGGTCGCCGAATTCGTCCAACGTCCCCTCTACATGGTATCTTCGGGCGACCTAGGCACGAACTCCGAAGCCCTCGACGACCGTCTCACCCGCATCCTCGACATGGCCTCAACCTGGAAAGCCGTCCTCCTAATCGACGAAGCCGACGTCTTCCTCGAACGCCGCTCCCTCCACGACATGGAGCGCAACTCCCTCGTCTCCATCTTCCTCCGTGTCCTGGAATACTACGAAGGTATCCTCTTCCTCACCTCCAACCGCGTCAACACTTTCGACGACGCGTTCAAATCTCGCATCCACGTGCCCCTGAAGTATAATGACCTCACTCTCGAATCTCGCACTAAGATTTGGAAACATTTCCTCCGGAATGATTCCGGTGTTGGGGGGATTGAAGAGGAAGGTTTCGCGGCTCTGGCCGAGGCTGATCTCAATGGTCGGCAGATCAAGAATGTTATTCGGACGGCGAAGAGTCTGGCGCAGTTTCGTGGGGAGAAGTTGGATCGGGCGAAGTTGGAGCAGGTGATTGCAATTCAGATGGAGTTTGAGGAGGATTTGAATTTTGGGGGAGGGGAGCAGGCACGGAATGGGAAGGGGGTGATTAATGGGCTTACGAATGGTCATTAAGGGTATTGAACGAGATGAACGAATGTTTTCTAGTAGTAACTCAGCATTGATTGGATCATGGCGTTTTGGGATACAAGTTCTTGGTCTCTAGCTAGTACCAATTGAGAGCCTTCAATGAAGATAGCGCCGACAGATCATGAGTATAAATGAATAAGACCAATCAAAGAGAGGACTCGAAACTACCTACATACTTACTACATACAGGAGGCATGGCAATCAGTTGGTAGTCATGTTATCTTTGCAGTCCATTACAGG